TAGCCCTTCGAAGAACCGCAGATTCTCCACAACCACATATAGGTCTCCATCGCAACTTTCCATCTAAGCTTCCATCTCTATTGCAATCGTACGAAGACCGGATCTCTGATGATGCTTCCTTCATCATATTGAGGGAATTTCAAATTCAAAATGGGAAAATTGAGATGCAATGTGTGAACCCTAGAATTTGAGGATTTCTGGAAGCAGCTTGAAGATGGTGTACATAACATTTCATGTCACCTGCCACGCATGCAAACCAAACGTCCGTTTGTGCCTTTTGGACGGAAAGGACTCCTATGGTCCTTTTGAAAGAATTATAGGACCAGTTTGACACTTTTTTTAGATAAATGACCAAAATGGACCTTGGGGTAAACTTAAAGGACCAAAAAGGGTATTTTGCCAAATGATTAAGTCTTTCTTAATTTTTGTTTTATTTCGTTAAATGATATTGATTAAGGCCTAATACAGTGGTGACATTTGTCACCACCTGTTCAATTGATTTTTAAGATTCTATGCAGCATCCTCATCATAGCAACCATGCACGTCCCTTCATCATCATTTGATCTCTTCATCATCATCATCTAACGCTCAGAAGCTGCTTCCCCATGGTGAACTTCTTTGAGAAGCCACACAGAATTCCGCAGACACCCTTCCAACACCTGGGCTTGTATTATTGGGTCTAGCGAAATTTAGATTTACACCTCTCTGTTTTACTTATTTCAGGCCCATTTCTATTTCTCTCTTTTTTTTATTTAATTATTTTGCCTTCATATTATTGAAAATACAAAATACATTTTGTTTTAAATAATTAATTAAATTGTGAAATATTATTTAATATTATTAATTACTTTATTAATTAATGTTATTAAATAAGATTATTTAATTTAATTAGTTATTTAAATTAATTTCGACTGGGTTGCATTGTTTGTTATTTAGACTTTTAATCGTATTATCGATTCATTACATCCCCATTTGTAAACTTGTACCCTCATTCCCATATGATTTGTAATAGCTTAGAGTTTTATTTCTTTGTTATTGCTTTATATGTTTTAATTATTGTCATTATGCATATATCATTCAATTAGAACACATGACCTCCTCTTGGATCCATCATCAACGGACATGTATACACTTACAAACGCACACTCGCACACATTCATAGCTTGGTCATGGGCTTTCTTACAGTGACAACTACTCGATCGTTTGTCCCAATCGGTCATTTAGGATACTAGCATCATGCTAGCCCCGCCTTCTAGGAGCATGCATATAGCCACCTTGTATGTGCTTGCTTGTTTGTTTATCTTAAATAAAGATTTTGTCTTCTTACCTTGATAATCGAACTCTTCTCTTCTCTTAGTCCATATACCAAGCCTTTTTCTAAAGGGTCTCATAGTTGAGTTTGGGCCTGGCGATTCTCACGAGATTAATCAAGTTTAGCCCTTTGTTAATCATAACCCGAATCAACCACTTTGGTCCATATACCAAGTGTTCCATGCAAAAGGGTCTCATGGTTGAGAGTAGAATCACCTATTCTTACGAGATTAATCAAGTATAGCCCTTAGTTAATCATAAGCCAATTAAATTCCTTTGATTCGTGCACTAAGCATTCCAATCATTCTTTTCATGATATTAATCATTTTGTTGTTACTTTTGCCACAAATTTGAGATCGATTATTGCCGCGACCCTTGTGTGCTTGAGTATTAATTTGGTTGATCATCGGCCAAGTTCCCACAAATTTTTGAGCTTATTGTACGCATTTGAAGAGGCAGTGGACCTTCTCCGTTTGGTATCATCATAACTCTCTTTATTTCTCATTCTTGTGTCGCTTTTCAATTAATCTTGATCATTACCTTACTTGTCTTACACTTTTGCACCATGAGCCCCAAGCCTCTATTACATGACCTTTGCACATCATTTGACACTTTACTCCTCACTATGCATGATCACTCTTCACAAACACATTGTCTCTTATTGCTTGATGCTTACTTTATTTTTCTTCTTTGAATAACATGCTCTCTTAGGATGTTAGTTTAATCTTCTTTAAGATGTGAATTAATTAGACAATAGGTTCTTATCCATGCATGCTAACTTAGATAGAAGTTTCCCTTTCAAACCTAACCTTAAGGCCATCATTGTACGATAATAGTAGGGCTAGAACTAGGTTAGTCTCCCTTAGACTTTTTCTTTTGCATTGCATATTTCCTAATCTAAAACAAAAACTTCTTTTCTTAATAAAAAAATCCAAAAAAATTTAATCATTATTCAAAATCATTCCACACTTGACAAAACACTCTACAAAGATTTCTTCAAAAGGGCATGTTATCTCCATTCTACCGTGATATAGGCCGTGCCTATTGCTATAATGCGTCGGTTAACATTGGCCACTAAAAAACACCAACAAACCAACATTTTCTAGAAGAACTACGGTGTTCTGATTCCTTTCCGGAATACGAAGGCAAAGGGTTGCGAGACCCTCACGAACGCACTAATAAAAACCATTTCATTTCCCTTAGCAAGTATAGTTTTAGATAGGCGCACTCTTAAAGACAAACAATCAAAATGGATCTCGTTGAGTATAACAGATGTGAGGGATGCTAATACCTTCCCCTCGTACAATCGACTTCTGTACCCTATCTTTTGGTCGCAAGACCATCTTATCCATCCTCTTGGGGTTTTCTCGATATTTCCTCTTTCTTTGGGATAAATAAAGTTAGGTGGTAGCTCTGTGTTTTTTACCAGTCGCTTCACCGACCCACAATAATGACGGATCAGTGACAATGTCGATCAAGTAGACACCCTCGTCGGCCCCACTTATTTCTTCTACCTTGACCTGCTCGGGTGTCTCGATTGGTTCGGTCATTTCACATTTAAAGCAGAGGAAACCAGTGAATTCGACAACTAAATCAAATCCACCCTTCCACCGCAACACAAGTGAAAGGGGGTTGCTATGACCAAACCAGGTCGACGACCCTTATTCAGTAAAAACAAACAAACTCGTGAACGCCACGAGGAGAGTATAGATCTCTAGAGCAACTTCATGAACGCCACGACGAGAATGTGAATCTCTCGAGCAATCTCGTGAAGGTGATGAGGATAAGATGAATCTCTTGAGAAATCCCATGAACACTGCGAGGAGGGAATGAATTTCCCGAGCAGTTTCATGATTTTTGCAGGGAGCAGATGAATTTCACGAGCCATTTCGTGAGTGTCACGAAGAGAGGTATGAATATCTTGAGTAAAAATCCCCCGGGTAGTGAAATTCATAAGGAAACCCATGAGATTTGTAAAAAAAAGCCAACTATAAACGAGAATAATCACTGGGAAACACTTACTTGATTAAGGTTGGTAGAGATTCTGCGGCGGAAGTTACAGCCGCGCTTACGGTTGGAGAAGGAAATTGCGGGCGGTAGAAAACTGAGGATTCTAGGGAGAAAGGAGAGAGTGAGAGTTGGAAATGTTACAAATGAGCCATTGGGCGCTATTTAAAAGGCTAACGCGGAAGATGAAGCATCGCGTTGAACAACGTATCAACTATCCGTCTCTCCGCTGCCCACGCACTCAGGATCATAATGATCCCTACTCCCTAGACCATCATTATATCCCAAAAGCTACACCACGTGGCTTACGGAGTAAATATCCTGGAACTTTCGACTCCCCGCGAGTCGAGGAGTAGATAAAATTTCTCTGTGAGCAAACTCCAATCTTCGCTCGAGTAGTCACAACCAAAAACTACACCACGTGACTTACGAAGTAAATATCCTGCGAACAACCTGTCTCTCCGCGAGTCGAGGAGAAGATAAATTTTCTCTGTGAACACGCTCCAATCTCCGCTCGAGTAGTCGTGTATAAAAACGAATTCGTCCCTCGACGTGATAGGGGATCCCGACGAAACTATGCTCACCATACCAGGAAGTTGGTCTTAAGTCATAACTCATTTCTTCATGAGCAACGACTTGGGGGCTCTTGTTCTAGACTGGGCCTACACTTGGCCCAAACATCATATGAGGCCCAATCCAACTATGCTGCAGGAGAAAACCAGCAGGAAAGAGTTTGCCCTTGACAATGTCGGGCAGTGATTCCACTCCTCTCGTCGATCAGGATATGTCCTCCGGAGACAACCTCATGACTGACGAGGAGGACCAACAACACTCAAAAGATCCTCGTGAGCACTCTCCACTTCTCTCGTCGACATCTTTAATTTCTAAAAACAAATTGTAGGATACTTTGGAGAGTCAAATATCCAAATTATAATAAATTTAGAACAAAACAAAAATAACCTACACATACTTAACAAGAGAAGACAAAGTAATAAAGACTCATGCTAACTTGTATTCTATGTACATTTTTTTGACAGAAAAAAATCGAGATTTATATTTCAAAAATAATATTTTTTTTAAACGGATGAATCACTAAATACAATTTTGAAGAGAATATTGTTTGTATCTGACTTTTGGAGTTAGCAATATTTTAATACTACACGCGCATTAGAAAATTGTTACCGACACTCTCGCTTTGTTTCCAGGAAAGCGCTATTTAAGCTAAATTAAAGTTTGGGGTCAAATTTTATTTTATTGTCAAATCCTTTGTAGCTAATTTGGGGTTAAAATTCTTAAAAGCTGGCAAATCCAGTATTTAATTAAGACAGTAAGAACCACGATTTGTATCTAAGCTTTGTCCTTAAATTAAAATAATTTAGTTTGGATTAAGAAAATTAAAATAATTAGTCAAGTTGTGTTGGTTCCTTCTTCCATTGCTTTGCGTGAGAAAAAGGAGTGTTGGCCCTCTCTATTGTTGCTTAGTCAAGTTCTTCAATATCAACATATCATTCTCTCAGTTTCACTTTCAGTTTCAATTGCTGTTTCAGATCTAAAACCTCAATCCAACATTCCATGTTTTTCACTTTCATATATGTCATAACACCATACTCCAACCAAACACAAACAACCTTATTCTTGTCCGAACAAATAAAAAACCAGTCTTTCTCCTAATTCAAGAGACGATGTTCCATGAAAACGGGAATGGGGAAATGGGTTTATCTGGAATTCCCTTGGGAACAAAGAACAGGTACTTGAGGATGAATTCCCAGGTTCCTGATGATAACGATGATGCTTTGCACCAACAACAACAATTGGAAGATAAGAGGAACACTACTAGGAAATATGTTATCGCATGTGCCATCTTTGCTTCTCTCAACAATGTTCTTCTAGGTTACGGTATGATTGATCTATTTGAAAACTCTTTGACTTTCTAAATTTTTTCGTTGACTATCATCTGCATCCATTCTGTTTCATATCTACCTTCCTAGCATCTAAGATCTAAGATTTTTATTTTGATTTCTAACTCCATTGCAGATGTAGGTGTGATGAGTGGTGCAGTTATATTTATAAAAGAAGATCTAAAGATAACTGAGGTACAGGTGGAATTTTTGATTGGTATTCTTAGCTTTGTTTCTCTATTGGGTAGTTTGGGTGGTGGAAGAACATCAGATATTATTGGTAGAAAATGGACAATGGCTTTGGCTGCGGTTGTCTTCCAAATAGGTGGAATTACAATGACTTTAGCTCCTTCCTATCAAGTACTCATGATTGGAAGATTATTTGCTGGAATTGGAATTGGCTTTGGAGTTATGATCTCACCTATATATATTGCTGAGATATCGCCAAATCTCACTAGAGGCTCTCTTACTGCTTTTCCAGAGATTTTTATTAATGTAGGAATTATGCTTGGTTATGTATCCAATTATGCGTTTTCTGGTCTTTCCGTACATATAAGTTGGAGAGTAATGCTCGCGGTTGGAATTTTGCCTTCGGTGTTTATTGGCTTTGCTCTTTTCATTATTCCCGAGTCACCGAGGTGGTTGGTAATGCAGAACCGAATTGAAGAAGCAAGATCGGTGTTGTTGAAAACGAACGAAGACGAGAAAGAAGTGGAAGAGAGGCTAGCAGAGATACAACAGGCTGCTGGTTTTGCCAATTCTGGTAAATATGAGAACAAACCTGTTTGGCGTGAATTGATGTTTCCTCCTCCCGCGCTTCGCTGGATGCTGATTACAGGTCTTGGAATTCAGTGTTTTCAACAGATATCAGGAATTGATGCAACTGTCTATTACAGTCCAGAAATTTTCCAAGCAACTGGGATTGAAGATAAAAAAAAACTTCTAGCTGCTACGGTTGCTGTAGGTATATCAAAGACTGTTTTTATTTTGGTGGCCATTGTTCTGATTGATAAAGTTGGTAGAAAACCTCTTCTCATTACAAGCACAATTGGGATGACAGTTTGTTTGTTCTGTATGGGAGCTACTCTTTCATTTTTTGAAAAAGGGCCGTTAGTGATTGGATTGGGTATTCTTTTTGTTTGCGGAAATGTTGCATTCTTTTCAATTGGACTTGGCCCTGTGTGCTGGGTTTTGACATCTGAAATCTTCCCTTTACGTGTGCGTGCTCAAGCATCCGCACTTGGAGCTGTGGCTAATAGGGTCTGCAGTGGACTTGTTGCCATGTCTTTCCTATCTGTATCTGGAAAAATTTCTTTTGCTGGAACGTTCTTTCTGTTTTCCGCTATTTCTTCCCTTGCCATTGTTTTTGTTTTCACAATAGTACCTGAAACCAAAGGGAAGTCTTTGGAACAGATAGAGATGATGTTTCAAAATGAACACGAGAGTCAAGTAAAAGAAATGGAGCTAGGTGATGTTGAACAACTTGTGCAGAACAAAACTGGTTTAACAAATTAGTTAATTAGCCTACACATATTTCACTTGTTATGTCCAAGGCTTTATGACCTCCACTCATGATTCTGCGACATGAGAATTTGATATCTGATACGGGGCATGAGAAAAAATGAAGGCAAATTGCATTTTTATTGTATACTCAAACTTTTACTAGTTGTACAATTATTCTGTTTCTTTTAGTTTCATTTAAGTTCATAGTAGGATTATGTAAGCATGGAGATTTTTGTTGGAAATGATCCTGTCTCCACCTTATATTTGGAAACAACTTATAGTACCATCATTTGTAATTTTACCAGTACTCCATGATGGATGTAATTCATATGAAAATTCTTTAATAAATCATATTCTTTTCAATTTTTGCATCTAAATTGTCGTCTATAGATAGACCTAGAAGCATATATGATTAGTGTCATATTATTATCAACATTAACCTCTCGTTGTTCTTATAAAAGACTAATATTTAGCATCTTCAGATTTCAATAGGAATAGTCTTTGGCTTCAACCAAAAACAATTTAGATTACAATAATTAGTTGGGGTTCCTTCTGTAAGTTACAATAAAAAATGTTTAGTCAAAGCATATCCAAAGTTTGTATATATTTCTGTAAAATTAGAGGTTGACTTCAGCAGAAATTGGTTTGGTATTGCTGGTAACTCCTAAAATTGTATACTTGAAAGTCATATTTTGTCAGCATTCTCATGAATATTAAAAGAGTCCTAAGTTTTCAGGTTCTTCCCAAGGATGCCAGATGAACTTCTGAACTAGGGAGATTTTTACAGGCAGGCAATAAGATCAAACTTCCTTCTGATATGGAAAGCTCTAGTTATAAGAGAATGAAAATAATAGTTAACGGGTTTAACAGTGTTTTAGTAATAAAAATAAAAAGGTCATAACTCTGTCATGGGGTTGATGTTCTGATATGGAGAATTTCTTTATGGTCTGTTTGATATTTTATTGCATGAGATATTTTTAGTGAAGAGAGAAAAAGAGAGAATAAGAAAATAATAATTGTTATTATTGAATGATAAAAATTGATTTATAATATGTCTATTTATATACAACTAACTTGTATATTAAGTGACTAACAAACCCTAATTAGCTTGGACTTGGGCTTGGATGACTTAACTTGAATTATATCACAACATACCCCTTATAGTCCATGTTGTCGAACATACACTAATCATAGTAGGTCTGAACTATTTCTAATTTCTTTCTCAAATTCAAGAATTTGTCGATCTTCAATCGTTTGGTGAAAATACCGGCCAACTGTGCTTCACTTGAGCAATGTCTTACTTCAAGTTCATCTCGATTTAGCTTTTCCCTTAAGAAGTGAAATCTAGTTTCGATGTGCTTACTCCTTCCACGCATAACTGGATTCTTTGCAAGATTAATGGTTGACTTGTTGTCGATCTGCAACACTAGAGGTTTCTTCACTTCGACCTCAATCTCTTTCAGCACAGCTCTGATTCAAATTGCTTGACACGCAACATAGGATGCTGTTATATATTCATCCTCACACGATGACAATGACACCACAAGTTGCTTTCTCGAGCACCATGAGATTGGGACACCAAAGACCGGAGAGAAACAACTAGTTGTGCTTTTTCGATATTTCTTATCTCCACCCCAATCAACATCTAAATAGCAAGTAACGGTAGCTTCTTTGATTTCAGAGTCTCGACAAAATAGAATTCCACAATTTATTGATCATTTTAAATATTTTAGGATTCTTCTTGCAGCCTTAATGTGTGACACCCTTGGTTCACCCATGTATCTGCTCACTAATCCGACTGCGAAACCTATATCAGGTCAACTGTTGCACACATATCTTAGAGATTCCACAATTTGTTTGAACAAAGGAACATCGATCTTGTCCTGCTTTCCATGTTTCTCCAGTTTCAAGTTTGGTTTGACGGATGATGATGCAGGTTTCGACTCATCCATTATGAATCTCTTGAGTATATCTTTGACATACTTCCTTTGATGTAGCGTCATATCATGCTTCGACATTTGAAATACCTCGCCTAGGAAATAAGATAAGTTTCCCAAATCCGACGTTTCTAATTCTCTCATCATCAGCTCTTTGAATTTTGATAACTTTCCAAGCTATCCATAGTTACCAACAAATCATCAACATATAAGAAGATCATTGTTATATCTTGTGCCATAACCTGAACATAGACACCATACTCAGATTGCATTTGACAAACCAAAATTTGACTAAGTATGAGTCAATCTTCTTGTTCCATGTCCTAGGTGCATGTTTGAGGCCATAGAGCGTTCTGTGCAACTTATACACCTTATTCACTTCTTCTTAAATCATAAAGTCATGAGGTTGTCTGACATACACCTCTTCCTCTTAGTGAAATGTCGACCATCCTTGCTTGCATGCCAAGGCTACCACTAGTCGAACAGTCTCCAATCTTGTGATATGTGTAAATACTTTAGATTAATTGAGTCCTGATCTTTGAAGAAATCCTCGAGCTACTAATCTCACTTTATGTCTTGCTATCAACCCATCAGCATTATGCTTCAACTTGAACACCCACTTCACTTCGATAGCTTTTGTATGTGTTGACAATTCGACTAACTCACATGTGTTGTTTCTTTTGATTTCTTGTAACTCTTCGACCATAACAAACTTCTATTTTTATTCTTTGAAGCCTCGTAATAGTTGATTGGTTCAACACCTGCAAGTAAGAAAAATGAACTAATTCTCCATAGGCGTAACTTCATCATCACCAGTCACTTCATAGTCTTAAAGTCTTGCAAGACGAATTCTAGTTCTTTGACTTGTGCTAGCCACACTCTCTTCGACTTCGACAATGTCGAGAATGTCAGCAGCTGCTTCGACTTCGATTAGAATATCAGTAATTTATTTAAATTCTACTTCATTAGTTTCTTCGTCGAAGCCATATCTCATCAAAGGCTCATTAATTTCATCACCAGAATTCCAATCCCAAGCAGAATTTTCACCAATCACAATATCTCAACTCATCACGATCTTCTCATTATTTAGATCGAACAATATGTATGATCTAGTTTTATGATATCCTAGCAGAATCATAGGTTCACTCTTGTCACCGAGCTTCTTTCTTCTAGCATCAGGGACATGCTTGTAACAAATAGAGCCAAACATCTTCAGATGACTCAGTGATGGTCGTTTGTCACTCTACACTTCTTCAGGAACCTTGTTCTTCAACTTCTTGGTAGGAGACCCGTTTAGAATATAAACAACTGTTGTTTCTGCTTCACCCTATAAGGATTTTGGCAGATTCTTCTGCTTCAGCATGCATCTTTTCATATCTAATATGGTCATGTTTATTCTTTCTGCTTTCCATCATGTTGAGGCATTTAAGGAGCAGTTACCTCATGACCGATACCATGTTCTGCACAAAAGTCTTCAAATATCTTGGATACACCATTTCCATATGTTCACAAAACTTTGATCGTCTTCTCACTGATTTTCGACAAGCATCTTGAATCTCTTAAAGATTTTTCAAATACTTTTTCCTTTCGCTTGATCATATAGATTCAGAGCTTTCGAATATACTCATCGACAAATGACACAAAATATCCATTTCCACCAATAGTATGCTTCTCAAAAGGGCCACATACATCTGAATGTACAACTTTGATTACACATGAGTATGACATTGGCATAGTCCAAAGGAAAGAATTTATGGATTGCTTCCCTACTAAGCATTATTCATAGAGTTTGTCGGGCATTACAAGATTTGATAGACATGTTACCATATCTTGAGTGATCAGTTGATTGAGCAACCTAAAGTTCAGATGGACAAACCTCAAATGCCATAACCAACTATTCTTGTGGTCGACAACCATTTTTAGATATCCTCAGTCAAACTGATTGTTGCGACAAGAAAAATATTCAAGCGTTCACACGCTCAAAGATTACAATGAAGTCGCCACTGATCTTTATTTATTCTAAGAGGAAAGGAAAAATATCGAATAAAAACCACAAAAGAAAAGGAAAAGACTGTCATTGCAACCAAATTAGAGTTTAGAAGTCGGTTATGCAAGGAGAAGGTACTAACACCCTTCACATCCATTGTTTTAAATGGTACTCATTTAGTTAGTCTTGTGATTGAATGTTAGTGTAATATTTACTTGCTTCTTGTTAGGTCTGTGATTTTATGATTGACAATAATTTTGGTAAAAACATGTTTCATGTTGAAAACATGTTTCATGTTGAAAACATGTATCACATACTGATGTTGAGTAAGGTGTCATGACATATTGACCAACTGGTACAACAAAGTTTGTTGTTATTATTTTTGACAGATGTTGTGATATGTTATACCAGAACATCATAACAGTACAACTGTTTAAATCCTTGAATATTTGATTTTAAATTATGATATTCTGGATGATTCTAGTTCTCTACAAGCACAACTAAGCAAAGATATTTTAGAAACATTGCAGATTTGATTTGGTTTCATAAAAAGGAACTTGGAGACTTTTTAGGAAACTTTGAAGATTTGTTCCTATTTTTGGGAAAAATATTTTGTCGGTGATTTACAATTGGATGATTGGATTTGATTGAAGAGTCCAAGCCCATTCTACAAGAGTCTATATAAAGAGACTTACTAAACCTATAAACTTAAGCATTATCATTGAAAAAAATTATGTGTGGTTGAAATAAGGGTTTAGGGTGTTGAGAGTACTTTATGTGCTTTGTTTGTTTTTTGTATGTCACTCATGTATCTTCTAATACATTGAGGTAGACTAAATTTTCATTTTTACATGGCAATCACTCACGAGCTTTTAAGTAAAGAGTTGACTGTGTATCAAATTATTATTCTCACTCATGAGCTTTTAAGCAAAGAGTTGAGTATTGTTTATTGGAAGTGTAATCTTTTGTTTTGGTTCTTGTCACTAGTTTGTGACTAGTTTATGAGGTGATTGTGAGAAGTGAGAGGGGGTTTTTATATCTAGGAGGTTCCTAGGTAGAAACTCCACGGGATAGTGATTAGGTGATAA